GATCTTGCTGGACTGGACGGGATCTGCCCGGCTGGACGGGATCTGCCAGACTGGATGGGATCTGCCACTGGATGGATCTGCCAGACTGGACTGGATCTGCCTGGCTGGACAGGATCTGCCCAGCTGGACGGGATCTGCTAGACACTTCCCAGCGTCGGGGGAGACGAATGCCCGCGGAGTGGCAGTGAGAGAGCGCAGGCGTGAGGTGGGGCAGGTGGGGGCAAAGTGGCCTGACAACTGTCCCGAGAGCTTACAACACCCAGCGTGTCAGTTACAAATTAATAAAATACTCAGATGAACATGGAAAGAGAATCTGCATAAGCACACTTGTGAGTGAAGCATCTTTGTAAGGAAAGAGTAAGATCAATTAAGAAATTAAAGATAATAATCTGTTTCCTGGACACTGAATATTCCCTTGATATTTTTTTAAAAAAACTAAACAACAGAAACAGAACACGTTTAAACCCTTAAGTTGAAAGAAAGTGAGCCCTACTTAATCAATAGTTTGCTATTTTTTGTTTCTATTAAAATTAAGATATTCAAATGTTTTATTTCAAATTATAGTTATCAAAATATGTTAGCCATGGTGCAGCTTTGGGACTTCAAAATATGAGTAACCAAAACAATTGTTTGAAGTTTATCTTCTCATCTTGAGCCTACCTTAACTTAAACTCATAGATTGTGTGTGTGCTCATGTGTGTATTAACATTCCCTGCATAGTGAGAGTTCACCCAGTATTTTGCTCTGAAAATTGGATATATAGAAAGTCCATTGAAAATGTTCCTGGGTTTTGCTGAAGTGATTCATAAAGCCCACTTTTTGAGCATCTTGTCTATAGCTTAAATTTTCAAGTACAAATTGGAGACTTACACTTTTCCAAGCATCCTTTAGTTTGATAATAAATTATTTATAGTTTAAATATATAAAAGATATCATCTCTAAAATCATGGTAAAATAATTCACCACATGTAGTTAATAAAAGCATTATCTCATTTTTTATATGATCAAAGTCTACAAAATTCAACCTAACAATTATAGAAATATTTTGTTTTTAGTTATACACAGCAATGGTGCAGGTTAATGATTAGATAAATTCTTCTGCACTCACAAATGGATGCAAATCTATTTCTGCTCTTCAAGTAAAAATTTGAAGAAAAATAACCTGTATAAAGTCAGGAAATGAGTATTACAGATTATTTTCTTAAAACAAAATCTAATAATCTAAGTTGTGTCTTTTACTCTATAGTAATTAATATACATCATATTTAATACATATAAATTGAATATATGTATATATTTATGATAAAGTAACTATAGTATCTTACAAAAATGCACTTTAGATTTAACATTCAAAAATTGGAAAAAGAAATATATGTATTCACTTTATTTGAGACTTGTGTTTTATTCTGTCCCTATTTCAAAATAACAATAAAGAAGTATTTGTTGTCAGTATTCAGCAGACTTAGGGAAATATTTTTTGTTTATGTTATATTGTTCTGAGACTATATTTAAAAAATAGGGTAAAGAGACATTTTACAACAAATGTTTTAAGGTAATTCTCTAATTCACATTTAGTTTTTTGCCCCCTCATTTCAAATAAAAAGTAAAATACATATTCCGTTGATCTAATCTTGCATTTGTCCTGGTTTTAAAGAACTTTGTGTGCATTAAGTTAGAAAGCATCAGTATCTAAAATAAAGTCTTTGGGTAAAGCAATGTTTGTTTTTGTGTATGTTTGTCTTCAATTCAGGCTACATGTGCATAAGCATGTGCACACACTCACTGCCACTGCCTTTTGAAGATAGCATTCATATTAACATATTTAGAAAACATCATATGAAGTAAAAATATAATCTGTTACATAAATTTCTAATGATTAGTGAACAGTAACAGAAATGGAAATCATGCTTTTATCTCCACGACTTATAGTGTGGCTTGTATGTCTTCTAAGAGAAAGTGGCTGTTGGATGAGAAAGAGACTCAGTTCTTTGCTTGATACACGAATAGCTGAGGCACAGCACTGTGTCCTCAGCAGCATGACCCTTCCTGTAAACCCTGCTGAACAAAACCACTCCTCCCAGCCAGGGCTCAAGTGTCAGCAACTCCCGCCTGTTGGGGGCAACTTGTAGGATGGAGTTTTCCCCAGTCATTAGACACCTCTAGAACGTGAACAAGGGCTACATAGCACCACTTGTTTCCTGGCAGTTTGCGTGACTGTGGAAGCCCTTTCCAGACCTGGCTCTGCAGACACTGGCGCTCTCCCTATTCCCCTGCCGGCCGTGTGGCCAGCGCCGCCGCAGGCCTGCTCGCCAGCAGTGTGGGAAACACTCCACCAACTAGAACGATTCCTCAACCAACAGGCCCTAAACTATTTGAGGTGCTGATGTGATTCCTGTATCACAAAAAGTGGGGGAATATTTTGCTATAAAAGAAGTTGAGGAGCTTATTTTTGGATCATTAAATGCTGTTTTTTCTGGAGTCTGCTAATCCAAAATATTTTTGAATAGATACATTGTCTAATATCTACCATCAAGATGACTCCTGCAACAATCTCAGGTGAGGAGGACCATGGGACCTTCCCCAGATCTGTTTGGGAGACACTCTCTCATCTAACCCATGTTTGGAATAGTAGAAATTCCGAACATGTTTTCTTATGTCTATTAATTATATACATTTATTTTCTCAATTACTCATTCATGATCTCTTCTCAAATTTTGTCAAGATTTTTTCCAGTGGTTGTTAACTCCACAGATAAGAAGTTCATTCACTCTTTGACTTTCACACCAATTATCCATGCTTTTCTAAATGTATCTCTTAATTGTTCTTGTTTTTTTTACAATGCAGAATTTTCTAAGTCCCATATACTCAAATCTCTATTTTCTTTTCCTTCAAGCTTTCTTCTTTTAATGATCAACATAATAAGACTTGTCATTCCCAAGGTCACATAGATATTTGCTGTATAATATTTTCTTCTAGCACGTTATGCTTTTGTATATTAGATAGAAATAAGCCATGTTGTTTATTTGGCTTTTCTTTATTGCTATTTATTGTCTGTGGTCTAAATAAGACAAAAATAAAGTGATAAATTTAATATTTGCCGCTGTTTTGGTCACATGTTTATTATACTTTTTATCATTTCTTATGTATTTTAGTGGTAGCTTATTTGACATGTAATGAGTTATGAATGACATACATTCATCATAATTATATGTTTAACAATATTAAGATTATGTATCTTTCATAGCTTTCTTCCCTGAATTCAACTTGGTTTGATATACTTCCAAACTTTCAGTGGAAAGAATGATTTACAACGAAATTTGATAAGTTCGATATTTTAGAGATGTCAAATGTCAGTAAAAGATTACTTAGAGGAGAGTGTGATTGTTATTTGGATTATGGGTCCATTTTGTTGTTTAGTCCTATTTATGTTTTCCAGATACTTTCAGGAGGATGTTTGAAACAATTTATCCTATAGGTTTTCAATTGAGGGTCAAACTTAGAAAATATTTAAAGATATCAAGTCCTCATATTACTTACCTGCTACCTACAGGCCAAGTGGTTAATTGTAGAATCTCTATTGTATTGCAGATTTTACAAATCTAAATATGAATGCATAAACAGCATGCAAATGAGTCCTTATACTTGAATTCAGACCTCATAATGTCCATCAGTTTTGCAGCGGATTACACACTAAGTCTCTCACACTGACTGGAAAACTATGTGATCTTTAAAAACTAATAGTCACCTTTCTGAAGAAAACAACTTTAATAACTCCATCATTTTTTGGTTAGCTCTGGGCATATTATTTCACAGAGCACTGGTTAAAGGCAGGTTTTCTGCCCCATGGACACCAGCTTGTATGACAGTTTGTTCCTTAATCACTTCCTAGGAGAAATCTCTCTGCTCTTCAATGAGGAAATTAGAGCTCATTTTCATAATGGAATAAATAAAGCATTATTACAAGGTGAAGCAGCTTTAATAAAATCATATGGACTAATCAGGTAATGAACAGGTATTTATGGAACAACTTTTATGGACTTAGAGTAAAGTCTGGGTTCTACAAAGGTGACAAAGTACCTGCTTTTCTTTCGGGAAAATATGTCAATAAGACATTGATCACTTAAAGGATAAATAATAGCTTAAGAATATTAAACTAAAAGTATTATTAGTATAATAGAAATCAAATGATAGCCGGAATTTTGTGTTCAAAGTCATGTTCAACCCTTCCCAAAGGGGTAGAATTTTAGCTTGACCTTGATCCCCTTCATTCAAAGGGAAATGTAGACTGCTCAGAAGGCTGTGATTTTGGAGCATGTATAGAAGAACTCTCAAGGGGGTTTCTTCCACTCAGCAGGAGTCATGATATTCAAATGATTAGTCTTTCCAGGAGCCAGAGTCTTTCCAGGAACCTATCGACCTCTCCTACTTAGTTCTTTGATATAAGAGATATATCACATTTTAGCATTGGTGTATCTATCATTTACATTAACAGAAATGTTTTGTTAGAAATAGTAGCTACAGTCAGACCAAGATAAATTATATCTTTACTCAGATTTTGAAAAATAAAGCACAGTTCTATGTCATAAAAAAAAAATCAGTCCACAAAGCCTAAGAGGTATTTTTGCCTTTTACGAGTAAAATAGCTTAAACACTTAAAATTTAAATATTATAGTATGTCTGGGAAATAGAATTGATAAAACCATTTATACAATTTCTCTAATTGTCTGGAAGAAGCAGCTGGACCCCCATTCACCTGTTTGGTCACTACATCGAAACGATTAGGATGACAGCCATTCGTGTATTTTTAATCATGCCTTATAGATCGAGCTGCTAGTGTAACAGCACGAAATGCAAAAACCCACAAAAGATTGATGAACTATGCCTCATCTGGGTAAAAATCTCACGTCATCTTTACTCTCTGTCTTGTCTCCCACTGTTTTCTGTGATATCACAGCGGACTTAGAGGCGCTGGCCTCCGGGCTCATGGGAAGAGCCGGCTCAGGGAAGGCGGAGGCACCGGCAGCTGTTCATCGCAGGCACCTGCAGGCGGCGCGGAGGCAGGCAAGCCAGGCCAGACCGGGCCCAGGTGAGGCCCGCCAGCCTGCAGGAGCACAGACCAGGCAGGGAGCAGGGCCACCAGTTCTTTGGGTTGAGTCAGGAGACTGAGGGACTGGAGGAAATAATGCAGAGTCTTCCTAATTCCCAAAGGGGGCTCAACAAAAGGCTTGCTTTGTTACTCTAATTTTGTGTATGTGTAGCTGTTAAGGGCTGAATTGTCTCTCCAAAATTGGTAGGTCAAAATGTTGGGCATCTACTCTAAAGAGCATAAGACATTCTACTACAAAGACATCTGCACCCGAATGTTTATGGCAGCACAATTCACCATTGCACAGTCATGGAAACAACCCAAGTGCCCTTCAATTCACCAGTGGATAATTAAAATGTGGCATATGCTCACAATGGAATATTACTCAATTCTAAGAAATGACGGTGAGCTTACACCATCTATGCTATCCTAGATTAAGCTTAAGCCTGTGATCCAAAGTGAGGAGACACAAGATCTAGAAAATGGGCTCCACCTCTACTCGCCATTAAATTGGTACTGACTGACTAAAACTATGTTGCTCAAATGGTGGTGGTGCTCACCAGGGATTGGGGGTGGGGGAATGTGCAGAGCATTGTGGGCAGGAAGAGATTACCTCTAACCCTTCTTAGGGAGAGGCAAAGATATACAATGTAACCAAAATGTCAAAAAAAAAAACCCACAAACCTTTTATGGAGTGGTGGGCAGGTTGGGGGGAAGGAAAGGGGGGTATACGTACATAATGGGTGTGGTGCGCACCACCTGGGGGTTGGACATGCTTGAAGCGCTGGCACAGAGGGGAGGAGGGGTGGCAGGGGCAATATATGTAACCCCAACAACATTTGTGCCACCATAATATGATGAAATAAAAGGAGGAAAAAATAAAAAAACTAAAAAACTAAAAAAAAAAGTCCAATCCCAGTCCCCCAGGGTGTGATTGCATTCAGATATGGGGCGTGTACAGAGGTAATTAATTAGCTTAATTTTAATAATTAGATCTTATCAGGGGTCCCGGTCAAATACACCTAGTGTGCACGTAAGAAGAAATTAGGACAAGGGCAGCATGGAGGGAAGGTCACCGCGTGCGAGGACACCGGGAGAAGACCAGCCACCGGCGAGAGGCCCTGGAGGAAGCCAGCCCGCTGGCCCCTGGGGCTGGTACTTCCAGCCTGCATAACTGTGAGAAAGTAAATGTCTGTTGTTTAAGCCACAGATTCTGTGATAATTTGTTATGGCAGCCCGAGCAAACTAATAAAGTTACACTTAGGAAAATTTAAGGTTTATTTATTTATTTGTTTGTTTTGTAGAGGCAGGGTCTTGCTGTGCTACCCAGTCTGGAGTCCAGTGGCACAATCATACCTCACTGCAGCCTCAACCTCCTGACTTTAAGTGATCCTCCTGTTTCAACCTCCCAAGTAGCTGAGACTACAGTCGCTCCAACCATGTCCAGCTAATTTTTCTTATTATTTTAGACATGAGGTCCTTCTCTGTTTCCAAGATTGGTTTTGAACTCCTGGCCTCAAGTGATCCTCCTGCCTCAGCGTCCCAAGTTGCTAGGATTGTAGGAGTGAGCCACATAGCCCAGCTTGAATATTTAAGTTTTAGATCAGAATTTACTGACTATAACTATGCAGAGTATTTATAATCAGTCTTTGACTAAAATTAAAATGAAAAATACCTTAAAAATAATGTTTCCTTATCCACTGGATAAGAAAATGGGCCATATAGAAATGGTCTCTTGAAATACACATTGTGTTTTAATCTTCAGTCATGGAGACTCAGCGCATCTGTGCATATTATTTGCAACAACCTTATCTTAGTGACTCCATTTCACATCGGTTTTCACTGAAAGCCTATGCAGACTTAAGGAAATAATATTCTAGTGGGATTTTGAGGATTTGAGGTATTTTGCCTAGGGGGTTGAAGTAGAAAAATGGAGAAAAACTCAGATAACATTTCTGTCATGGGAGTTTCTATTTTAGCTGCAGGAAAAAGGGCACAGATGACATCTATAATGCATGAAGTGGCTATACCATAAGGAGGTTGATCTTAGTTTCCAAAAGTGCAAGTTTCATTTTCTAAATTAAAAACAGACAAGAAAGCAAATCCTCTGTAAATTTCCAAATAGTAAATAACTGTTAGGCTAAGAGAAAATATGTCAAATAAAGGAGAATTGATAATGTCCTGGTGATTAGAGAACTTTGCCTGTGAGTGATCTAGATTAACTCATGGAGCTGAGGCTGGAATTCCATTCCTTTATTCTCCTGACCCATCCAGTAAATCCCTGAATATATGCAAGAGTCCCTGTCCTGCACGCCCTCATCCCTAAGACACCCGTGAAAACAGTGCAAGGATACAGAGGCATGCTCACCGTGGAAGGGAGTGGCATTGTCCAAATCTATTATGGAATTCTGTACTTTTCAACTATTATAATATGTATAGAATATCTGGATTTCCTTTGAAGTTCCGGGTGCTAGAGCTTCTCCCAAGAGATGCTGGCATCTATAGACTTATTTAATTTATTTGGACATACAAAATCTGAAATGCTCACTGCTGATGCGCTTTTCTCATGCCTTTGTCTCAGCAGACTCCGCTGCCATAGCTAACCTACCATGAAGAGCAGACTGGTGACATACAGACTGGTGACATACAGAAATGGTCCCAGCTCCATGGAAGGTGAAGAGAATGGAAGATGGAGAGAACATAAAACTTACCATGTTCTCAAACATCCAATCACAGAGTCCCATGCCTTTTTTCAAGTACTTTATCTAAATTTACCCAAAAACCTATGATGGCATGGGTTTTCTGAGCCACTGCTTTGGCATTTCCTATGGCCAACAGTGAACTATTTATTTGCAGGCCAACAAATTGGATTGTCTCAGATACGTAATAGTTACCATTATATTTATCTGGTAATTGTCTAGAGGGTCATCTTCTAGGTATGGAACAGCTAAAAATACCTATGCAATAGTTGCTATTGTTACCTCTTTAAAACTATGCAGACCCACATACATGATATCACTGTATATAAGTGTGGTGACATGATAATTGAAAGCTGAAAGTCAGGAATAGGCATGGGCATGCCAGAAACAATGAGCAGGTATGCTGTGATGTCATCTGGAGCACAACAAAGAGTGAGCATTTGTGACATTGCTATGCCTTGCTCATTGCTTTATATACTTTATTGAACTCATATATTCTTAAAAGAATCCCATAATATTGACATTATAGTCATCATTTTACAAGAGAGAAAACTGAAGCTCTGAGGAGTTCAAATATCTTGCCCAAATGTATTTATTCAAGTGGTTAAGTCATAATAATTTTCAAGTCTGTCAGACTACAAAGAGATTCTCTCACTTTCAAAAAGTAAAGAAAAGAGATTTCTGCTTTGGAGTTAAAAAAACCTTAAGAAGAGAGAGCTTCAGGGGACTCAGAAATGAGGAATATCCTGTCTCATATTTGTCTGGAAGATGAAAATTCAGTTGGCTAAGTGATAACCAAGTTCTAAATATTTTTAAATGTATGAGATATGTGTGCACTCAACCATAACTAATGCGAGCCATCAAAACACTTGCTGCAGTTTTAATCCTGTAAATACATATGACAACGTCTACCCACTGCCTGTGCTGTCACAAAATTACCATGTGGAGTACCTGTAGGTGTTTCACAGCCTATTAAACTATAATTGTGAAACTGTAATTACAGCAGATGCACTACAATGCCTGAGTTTTAGAAAACAACTTCCCTTAAATCATAAAAAAGAGCAAACGTTATGAATTTTTCCAGCAATGACATGATTCTATCAAAATAAAATACTGCTAGAGGTGCAAAACTCACTTTTCCAACAAATGTGAATAATGATTACACTATGCAACACTTAAAATAAGCACATTCATATTTTAATCACAGCTGAGAAAAGAGGCACAGCAGAAGCAAAGTGAAAAAATCCCATTTGAGTATGTATTGTAATTTATGTATTAGTTTATGGGATATGACATTTATTTCTGATTAATAAGACAATTATATAAATATTCACTTTCTCAGGTACCTTTTTTTTTTGCTGGTGGCAACAGCCTGCATCCTACCTTTGAGATGCAGGTTGCAAAAGCAAAAGGATCCTCTGCCTAGATAAGCCAGATCCACATCATCAAACCTGCTAACCCACCATATGTGTCAATTGCTTTCCTCCCCAAAACAGCTGAGAATATAAAGTTACAGAGTTCAGTTCTCTAAAAATCACATTTGCATATGTCCCTTATTGAACAGCTAGTTTGCCTTTTGCCCAAAATATACCACCACATCCAGCTTCCATAACAAATCTTTGTCAGTATGGATGTGTGGGGCGGGAGGGGTGGGCGTTGTTGTGACGACTGTTACTTTAGGCGTTGTCACTGGGGTCCCTCCCATTGTTGGGGTTGGCCTGTCTTCCTAGAGGGATGAATAGAAACATCATCTTCTACTGAGCTGAAATATGGCTTGTTCTACCCTTCTAGGGCTTGCTTGGAAGCAACAGATGGTAAAATTATTTCTCCTGACACTTGGGAGTATTTAAACATTTAGAGTAAATTCGAATATTTCATCATTGTCGTCTTTCCGTCACAGGCAGCGTTCCTAGTTGCTTCACCTGTTCTTTTTAGAATCAAATAAGCATCTGAGGGAAATGCTTCCCATTCTGGTGTGTGCATCTCAGCACGTAAAGTTCATGCGGTGCAGCCGAAACTGGGGTGAGGCTGAAATTTGGAACACAGAGGAGACACTCTGCCCAGTTTAGGGAACATTTGAGGCCCATAACTTAAAATTAAGAAGCATGCATTTTCAGATTTACAATATTTAGCAGTGTTTTCTTGTGTAAATCATTTATTTTCCTAGAGTTTCAACTTTCAAATTTTATATTAGAAGTAATAATAGCAGGCAAGTGGGAATTTTTCTAAATACAAATTAGATTAAGGAGGTGCATACAAATACAGATTTTAAGCACTGATAGAGGAAATTGGATTATAAGATTTATAGGAAATTGAAAGAAATGAACCAAAGATACTAAGATGTATGAGCTTGGGGACTACCCGGCCCAGACACATCTGCATGAACTATCTTCTGTAATGACGACAGTACCTTTGGTTTGTATGACTGGATTTGAATGTGATTTGTGGTGATATACAACCCTTTCAGGGACATCCTCTCTCAAGTACTTGAAGACTAAAATCGTCTTCTTTTTTGACAACTTCCTTTGGACTGAATGGATTCTTTCTTTCTCAATCCACCCCATTTCTGCAACCTTCTTCCTCCCAAGTTGTTTATAGCCACTCAGTTGAACAATATTACCTTTTGATTTGTGTCCCCACCTCTTATCCTTGGCCTCCTGCCCTCTCCTGTTAGATTCATCTTTCCAAAGCATTCTTCTATGCAGCACACCAGCCTGCAAAGCACTTTTCCGCGGTTCCCTTTGCTAATGAGAGTCACTATTCCAAGAAGAGCCTGACCTTCAGGAAAAGAAAAACAAATCTCTGCCATGTGCTAGCCACTGACCTTGGACGAGGAACTCAATTATCCTTTGCTTAGTCATATTAGCCTCTTGTGGGTCTTTATGAGGATCAAAGAAATTTCATTTCTAACTCTCTGTAAAATATAGTGAAATGCTGAGATTGTTAGCATCCTTTTCATTCTTTTTCTATGATCTACTGATTTAGATATACTTCTATGTTCTAATCCTAAATTATATTTACAACCTCTTTCTCTCTATTATCTTATATTTCTTTTATGCTATAACTAAAATATCCTCCTCATAATTTTCTTATCTCTATTTTTGCTCATACGAAATCCTATGCCCAAAGTGCTCAACATCTTTAACTGATGAATGACTGTTGTTAGCTAAATTCCAGCACATAAAGTTCATGTGGTACAGCTGAAACTGTGGTAAGGCTGAAATTTGGAACACGGAGGAGGCACTCTGCCCAGTTTCGGTATCATTTGAGGCCCATGGGTTTGGTACAAGCATCTTCTCCATAAACATCCAGTGGCACTCCACTGACTTCTAGGTCATCTACTCCGCATATGAACATAGTAACAACTCGTCACTGCTTTCCTACTGGTGCACACTCTGTCACGACAGATCAAAGTGTATGTACCTATCTCATGTCTGTGATAGACAGCAAGGCAGCAAAGTTGTCTTAGCCAACTAAATATCCCATAGTCAAAGTCATAGTCAATGACGTTCTTTTTATATTTTTATTTTTCAAGTGAAATAATTTATATCAAATCACATGTATAATCTTAATATAAACATACGATTAACTAGATTAACATGGACAAGTTTCCAAAAGGACCTAGTGTTGCAAGGTTTCAATATGCTAAGAGCATGAGCCAAGATCCAGGTCTCACTCTCTTAAAAGTATTTTTATATGTATATATGAATGTATATATACAAAAGTAGGCAATTTTTAATAGATAAATATAAGAAAGCAGGCTGGGGGTAGTGGTTCATGCCTATAATCCTAGCACTTTGGAAGACTGCAGAAGGAGGCTTGTTTGTTGTAAGGAGTTTGAGACCAGCCTGAGCAAGAATGAGACCCCATATCTACCAAAAATAGAAAAAATTAGCTAGGTATGGTGGCACATGCCTGTAGTCCCAGTTACTCAGGAGGCTGAGACAGGAGGATCGCTTGAGCTCAGGAGTTTGAGGCTGCAATGAAGTATCATGATGCCACTGCACTGTATCCCAGACAACAGAGTGAGATGCTGTCTCAAAAAACAAAAAACATAAGTCATTCTAATTGTGCAATCCAGAGCTAACCATTTAAACTGCTGTGTTGCACCACTTTAGAGGGCCCCAATTACAGTGACCTCTATTAACACATTTGTGTAATTGGGTATATTAATCCAAATATATATTCTCAAATGGAATTATACTGTACATTATCTTGAAACCTCCTCTTTACACTCAATGTCATAATCATAGACACATTTTATGTCTTTAAACATTTCTTGATAACATTATTATTTACATTTTGATCTTTTTATTTTCAAAAATGTTGAACTTTACAGAAAAATTGAAAGAATGATAAAATGATCACCCACATACCCTTTACTTTAATTCTATAATTATTACCTTTTTGCCACATTTGCTTCTTCTCTCTATTTCTCTCTTTCTCTACACAAATGCATTTGTGCATGTGCACACACACACATTTGTTTTTGTCATTGTTAAACTATCTGAAAGTTAAGTTGTAGTAGACATCATGATGCTTCTTCCCAAGTACTTCAGCGTGCATATCCTAAGAACAAGGACATTCTCCTACATGACGACAATATCATCACCACACCCAAGAATTGCAACATTGATAAAAAAACATACATTCCATTTCTTAATTATCCTAATTGTTCCCCCCAAAATTTCATCTCTTAGAGCTGGTTTTAGTTTTTGTTATAGTATCCAATCAAGTTTGGCTTTTAAACCCTTTATTTTATTTTAAATTTAGAATAGGTCTTCATTATTTTGAATTTTGAAAAAGTTTAGTCCAGCCATTTTGTAGAATATTATAGAATGGTTTAATTGATTCTTCCTGAATCAACTTGTATTAAAATTTTTTGGCACATATACTATATAGATAATATTTGTTTTGTAATGGACAATTAATTACTTAACTAACAGTTTTTTTTTTTAAATGAGGAATACAACTTATTGATGTTCCTCACACAGAATTTACTTTTACAGACAAATAGTCATTGCTGGGTAAGGAGGATGAAAGTGTTGGCCACATAGCTGTGTCTGTACCTGGTTCCTGGCACTGTCTGGCAGAGAAAGCTGGTGCCAGTCATTTCTTCTTGGACTTGTTATAGTGGCCATATGACTTGAGAGACTGGAATTTATGTCACCACCGTTTGCATCATCATGACTGGAACTGATGCATCTTTAGATTACTTCAGTTCCTGTAGATCAGATAATGGTCTGGAGAGCTTTTTTTTCTTCATTTTAGCGTATTATGGGGGTACAAGTGTTAAGTTACATATATTGCCCATGCCCCCCTCCACCCTCGAGTCAGAGCTTCAAGTGTCCATCCCCCAAACGTTGCACATCTTACTCATTGTGTTTGTATATACCCATCCCTCCTCCCCTCTCC